GTTTGAGGCCAGCCTGGGCTGCATAGTGAATTTAAGGCCAGCCTAAAGTATATAGCGAGACTCTGTAAGAAAAGAAAAACTGACAACAATAAAAAAAATGAATCTCATATAAACCATTTTATTATGAGTTTTAAAGAGAAACAGCCACATGTCTATGAAAGGAGTTTAAGAATCTCCTTATGGTGGCTGGTTAGTAGACATGGCCCCAGGATTAGTGATTACTTTCCATGGTAGATAAACTTTTAAAGTCTGTATATCCTAGGGGGAGTACTTACAACATTGCTGAGACATTTTGTGACAAAATACAAAATGACACATTCACCCCTCCATGGATTTAAACTAAATTTCCAATATCTGCAAATCCAGTGGCTTGCAAACTTTCCTACCATTGGTCTTCACCATCTCCTTTCGGTAGCCTTTCCTAACACCCACCAACTAGAGGGTTGAGGTCTGTGCTTCAGAGAGATTTGTAGTAACTTTAGGTAACCAGCCAAAATAAAATTACAGTTCCTACAATAAAGAATATTTTGCACTGGGGGTTTAGTTCAGCAGCACAAGCTGCACAAGTATGAGAGCCTGAGTTCGATCCCCAGTACCAAAAAACAATAATAATATTTTAATCATTCCATTTCCATTATGCATTTTCTCTTCCCATAGCCAGAACAATCTCAGCAGGACTCTTTGAGACCAGTGTGTTATGGTTTAGATCTAAATGTCCTCCAGGGATGTCATGTATTCAGAGTTAGAACTTTTAGAAAATAACTGGCTGATAGGGATGCTGTACTCATCTGTGGATCCCTCCATTGACGAGTTCACAGCTGTTAGAAGATGGGGCTGGTTTTGAGACGGACCACTGAGGGTGTGACTCGGAGGATGTGTTGTTGCCGCTGTCTCTTTCTTCTCTCTTTGGTTCCTGACTGTCATGGGTTTAGCAGCTTTTCTTGGCCAGGCCTTTCTATTATGTTATTTTTGCCTTCTTGAGCCAGCTGATTATGAACTGACCTTTCTGAAAGGATAAACCAAGTAAATCTCTCCTCCTTTACATTGCAGGTGTCAGGTGTTTTGTACCAGTGATGGGAAAATGACTAATATAGATAAACTATCATTTTCTCAAGGCCACACAGCCACTACATAGCAAAGCCGACTCCCAAACCCACCTGGCTTCTCAATCTTCTGCATTTTGAAAATCTCTATTTTATGTAATTTTCAAGTGACTGTCATAGAATGAGCAGTTTTTCTCCATCATGGCTTTCTGCCATCCCATTTTTGCCTTAGAGTAAGATAACCATGCACTGAATCAACCAAAACCATGAGCCAAAATAAACCTGTTCTCTTTTACATTGTGAGTGTTGTATATTGTGTCCAAGCAATGGGAAAGTAACTAATGCACAGTGTTTCTAAAAGTGTGGCTCAATAGTATGTTCACCACCTAGGAACTTTGAAAAGCCCAGTAGGTGATTTTGATAAATACCAAGTTTCAGAGCTATAGTTAAACCATGGAACAGTTTCCATCTACCTTATTCATATATCCAAGGAAGCTAAGAAAACATGTTGCAATATGCATTATGCAGTTGTTCTATATAAATAGTTTGGTTTCTTATTTCAAATATGAAACTATTATATTACATGACCTATCTCACAGGAAATTTTGTTTTATGCTTCTTACCTCACCTATTAGATAAATTTCTCGACTAGAGAATAGTTAAGAACCTTAAATGTTCTGGAAGACACTTTCCTGGTCTACTGACTAAGACGGAAACTTAACTTCTATATCATTACCGAGTATCTATGCAGAAGGTCCTCCTTTGGAAAGTTTTAATAAGGTCCTCAAGGCTTATTCAATTTAAGAAGCACTTTGTGGAACCATACCTAATTTCAGAGAAAACCAAATTAATTCTTGCCACAAAGTCGTATGGAATCACACTCTTAGAAAACATGAATTCTTGTCAAAGCTAAGGAAGAATTCCCTGCCTTTGACGCCAGGATTAACCATGTCCGTGAAATTCCTTGGAAAGACCTTAATGGTACTGATAACTGTAAAACCCTAGAGTAGCTTTTAATAGAAAGCAGAGAAGCATTCATGTCTGCCCTTAGTAGAACATGTGGACCCCAGATCACACTTTAATGATGGAAGATAAATTAAAAGTGATCACCAGAACTCATTTCTAAACCTTGATTTTTTTTCCAGTTTTTTTAAATGGCATGTGCTTATTTAGAACCAAAATAACAAACATACCCTCTAAAAGCCCTGAGAGATTTAAGCATTAACACAGACAATCTTGGGCAGAGAGAACAGTGTGCCAATACTGAAGAAATTGTCATTGTCTCCTTTGTTACATGTACTAAAAGCTATTTCCCTGCACTTAAGATCACATTGCCATTTTGATATTCTTGAACTGTGATCTTCGACATGTCAGATTCTTCATGAAATTCTTTGTGATCTAGGCAATAACTGCTCTTTAAAGACTAGTAGGTGTGTGCACACACACATTTATGTGTGTGCATGTGTCTGTGTTTTAACTTTTTTTCAGTTCATATAGCCAAATATCTGAGGCTGGATACTTTATAAGAAAAGAGATTTATGTAGCTCAAAGTTTTGGAGGCTAAAAGTGCAAGCACCATGATGCCCTGCCATTATGCCCCCTGGTGGAATCACTTGATGAACTGTGTCATGGTTGGAGCATGTGCTCGAAGGAGAGATCACAGGATGAGACTGAAAGCCAGAGAGTGGGGAATGATTCTGGTGTTACACTCATTCTCTTGTAACCACTCAGTGTCTTGAGAGTAATGATGTGGAAGTTAAGTTTTCCTCTCAGTCACTGGACCAGGAAACGAACTCAGAGTGCGATGAAAACTCTCTTAAGCCCTTCAAAGGGCAAAACTTTCAGTTACCTAGCCGTCTCCAAGTCACCCTGCCAAAGGACCTACCAAAGGTCACAGCACTTCCACACTAGGATGCTTTCATCATACAGATCTTTAGAGAATTAACCACATCTAAACCAGAGCAATGTGTGTGTGTGTGTTTTTCTGATTACTGCAGTTAATGGTCACCATCAGTAGTATTCTAGTAAGGTTTATCAACCAGTAATCCAAATGAAAACACTCCAGTTTTATCAGTTGTTGATTTCCATAGTGTAAATATTCTCACCACGATTCTTTCTGATTTCAAGCTATCGGTCTGACATCATTGCAGGAAAATTTGGGGAAAGAAACACACAGTTGATACTGTTAAATTTGTTGCCTGTCAACTCTAGTATATCATTAAAATGTAAAATATTTAGAAAGCAAACAGAAGTTTTAAAAGTCAGAGAAGATAAATTTATAATGTGGCTGAGAACAAAATCAGTTTTACTATGAGATTACATTTACTTCTGGTGTTTTGTCTAATGTATTGTCATGTAATTGTTAAATTTTTATCTTGTCCTTTTGAACATCCTTTTAAGAGATGCATATTATTACACCAAATTGATGTAAGATTATTTACTGACCCTAATTATAGACATTTTGGTAGCATTTCCTCATTTTGGTATTGCTATAAAGAATCTTTCAAATAATTAGAGAAAGACTTATTTGGGTATAAATTTTCCTTTACACTTCTGGTTGTTTTCTTAAGACAGATTCTTATATCAAAGTATTTCAATCAGAAGCCCTAGGATCAAGAGGAGTATCGACATCTAACTGATATTTGATGAATGAATAAGTATATTTCAGCCCTATATCTAAAGATTGAATGTTGTCATTATGTATGGTTTGTGTCTAGATGTCCCCCCACATTCTCATGCAGTCATAGGGATTTTTTGGGAATGGTTGAATATAAAGGGTGTGATTGATTCAAAGTGCAAAGGTGGGTGATTGGTGATTAGTCCACTGATTGGTTTGGCAGGAGCCTAATCCCAGTAGATCGAATGCAGTGGACAGAAAGAGGCTTCTCTCTCCCTTTTGCTCTTGTTGCTTTTGCTGTTTTCCACCATCATGAACCATTGCCCCTTTGCCGTGTGCCACCTTGCCTTGGAGCCAGCCAATTATGGACTGAAACCTCTGCAAACTGTGGACTACATAAATCTTTCTCTATTTAACTTTGGATATCAGATATTTAGTCTCAGCAAAGAAAGAACAGTAACTAAGATCTTGTGTAAAATCAGTTTACATGCTTTTTTTAAATACCAAAGATAGCAACATTTTTCAATATTGTAAAAACTATATTTTTAAATTCTTTTTAAGCATTATGTTTTTGGATAAGCATGTTAATAGTTTTATGTCTGTAAAGCTTCCATTGTAATTTTTCCAGTCAAATTACACTTTAAAAGTTATATTTAAAAACATATCACTTTAGCTATACTTTATTCTGACAATTTTATAGTTTTTTTACTTGTAACTGTTTAATAATTAATCAGTTTTCTTACATGTAATTACATTAATATCAAAACCCTTTTGATTTGTTTTAATTTAACCTATTTTTGAGCCTTTGTTGCTGTTAAGAGTATCAGGTTATTTTTAAATCATATTCCATAACATTTTCAAATTTAACGAGTATTTTCCACGCATGGTAAACCTGTAGGAGTCAAATCTCAGTGTACATTTCTTAATTATCTCCAAGATATTTCAAGACAGTATCTCTCTATTCTATTTAAGCCATACTTTCCAATATGATCTAAACCTAATTGCATTTGTTTTTGTTATCGCTACAAGTTCTGATAAGATACAAAGCAAATAAATGGAAATATAATAGGAAGTTGGGTTCTCAGAAACAAGAATATCAAGAACTAAAGTCAAATCTCCCTCTAGCTACATTTTTCCTGAAGCACCTGCCAAGTGCTATTAGGACCGGGAACTGACCCTTTTATTGACAGTGGGTTGAGCCCCTGACTTCCCCAGAGCAGCTACTTGCTAAATATTTGTGCATTGAATTGCACTGAACCTTAGGACTTGAGACCTTTCCAGGCAAGTATCCCCAGGCACAGCTTTCCTTCTCCATCTCTCTTGTTTTCTCCTTTCCTTAGCTGCGGTCCAGCACAGAGCTCCACCCAGACCTGCTCACAGATTGCCTCACTGTGCAACCCCTGCAGACGGCCGCGTCCCCAAGGGAAACTGCTGCTGATACCACCCTGGGACGGTCTCCAGGGCCAGGGCCAGATCTCTATTCAGGTAAGGATGCAAAGACAGAATCAATCCCCTCCTCCACCCTTTTATTCTCTCTGTTAGAGGAGATGCTCACATGAAGAAAATTCTTCTATAATCACCTGCATTTTGCTTTGTCAATTAGCTGAAAATTGCTGTCTTCTCTCCATGTGATTCTTTAACTGAGTTTGGCAAAAGCCTGTCTTTTTCTCATAAAGAAACAAAGTGTAATAATGGATTAGCTTCTTTAGTTCTGAACTTCTGCCAAAAGTTCCCTGTGCCCAAACCTTCCAGATAGCCTAAATTTTCTAAACTCGATTTGGACTCAGAAGAAATGTTTCCCTCTTAAGCAGGTAATGGGGATGTGAATTTCTTAATGGAACATTAAGTCATCATCACCTTTGCATTTTAAAGTAAACTCTAGGTCTGTATGTAAATTTTCACATCAATAAACCAACTTGTAAGACTATTTATTAATGTTCCCTTACCATTAGGAAAAGGGGAGGGAATGGCACTCCCAGACCACTATTCTTCTGTGAGAGTTTGAATAAAAGGTTACTCTAAATTTAGAAAAGTGCATGTGTTTAATGAATAATTAGAAAGGATTGATATGCAACAAAGAAGTCCTTTTTCTTCTGCTTTCTTAGCCTAGCTTTTCTGTATATTTTGCTCTATAATAGTGATGTATACTTGTAGAACCATAATTAGTTATTATCTCTATGTATGGAAGTGCCTACGATCATGTGATGAATATGCAAACAAAATCTCACTGGATCCACATTCCAGAAAATGGGAGTTTTACATTTTTTTGTGAATTGCAAATCTTACAACCCCATCTGATTCGAGAGCCAGACTTCATAGCGAGCTGTCTCCTCCTTTGGAAAGTTCTAAAAAACTATAAAAAAATGAAGAATTATATACTTATAAATTATAATGGAGTAGGAGAAGACACACTTGATTAGCTTTTTAAACTAAACAGTTCTCAGACAGTCCAGATATAGGGGAAATTAAACATACATTTCAAGAGTATTAGCCATCAAGGTGTCCTTAATGATGGTCTAGTGTCAGTAGACTTTTAATAGCTGCTTTGGGTTACTTATTCCTAGAGACAACTTGACCTCTACTTTTTGAAATCCAGGGAGATGAAGTTAAACTTTATTCAAAGGACTGACCAAATCTTAAGAGAGGTTTTACATACCAGTAGATATACAAATATCAAATGTGCTATTTGCATGATGCTACCAACACTTAATCAATATTTGGTATAAGATATACACACATATATATGAAAAAGCAAAACTTTTGTTTATATGAGTCTTTATGTGACAAATGGTTGAGAAATAAAGTTTTAGTACAGCACATTAAACTAATAATCAGATTAAACAACCTATAAACATTTTCCTGTTCCTCAATCTATAAATTTGTATTACTAAAGACCTGCACCCAACAAGTAAGGGTAAAAGTGATTGGAAAATGAACTCACAATCAGGATAAATAGTTTCCAGTGGTGGGACATATATTAGTCAGTTTTTCATCACTGGGACATGCATTATTTAAAAGAGGAAAGGTTTTGCTTATAGCTTTAGAGGTTTGAGTCCATGGTCAGCTGGCTTCAAAGCAGAAGTGTCACGATGGAAGAGCATGGCAAAGGAGACTGCTCAACTCATGGCAGCCAAGAAGCAGAGCAGAATGGTGTCAGAGAGGAAGGGACAGTCCTGAAGTCGCACCAGCTGCAGACCAGCCAGATAAACATTTCACTAATCCCCCGGGCAGCTCCCAAGCCAATCAAGTTGACAGCTAGGCTTACTCAGCATAGTCCAGTCCTGCACTTAAACCTCTTGGCTTGCCAGCTCTGATATGTGCATCTGTGGGAATGTCAGTGACTGTTGAATATAGCACACAGCTCTTGTCCTATTTATTCTAATCTAATATGTCTTGGTTTGAATCTTTCAAGTTTTGAAGTTTCATGGTTTAGTTTGACATGGCTTTTTTGTTCCAAATCAACTTATGCTTTTTGTTCATGAATCATTGCTCTTTTGGGCTTCAAAAAGATCTTGAGCTCCTAACTTTGAGCCTCTGGCTATAGAAGGTAGGCTCCCATGGCAGGCTAGGAATCATAACCTGCCACAGCCATCAGTAGAGCATCTTCAGGTTCAGCAAACTCAGAGCAGAGCCATGCAGGCGAAAAACTACAAAACAAGTCTCTTAGCCTTTCCTTTCAAATTTCTAGAAATGCATTTGTGGGAAGTACAGGTACAAACTCTAGCTGAAGACCTGACTAAAGGTCCCCTCTCACACACACAAAAAAAAAAAAATCTGAAAAATGGCCAAGGTACATGAGGAAAGCATTGATCAGTTAGTTAAATGTAAATTTTCAAGCATCAAAGCAATTTGATGAGGCTAAAACTTGGCTAAATGTTAAAACAGTTGGAATCATTCTTTTTACATTCTATTACACAAAGTCAAGAAAAGGTTTGTTTAAAAATTACCAAGCCTTTACCTTTAAAACATGAGTGAATTGATTTATCACAAAAATATTTTGATGGAGAACATATGGGCAGACAGTAGGAAGCAGTTAAATGTGGTATTATTGCACCTGAAGCCACCAAGACTGGAGGATTAGAATTCTGAAGACATCATGGTTTTGAAAGGGAAATTTTTAGTGGCTGGTAGACCATGATTTACAAGGTTCCAGGAGAGAGATAGTTCGCACAGTATTAAGACAAATAGGAAATATGGTGGTTCTGATACATACAAGACTTGCATATCTCCTGGAGTGTTGGCTTCCTTTACTGAAACAAACTTTTCAGGTTGATGAGACAGAACTAGAGTGGAATGAATTGCCTAAAAAGACTCATTTCTGTAGAAGAAAACAATGTCCCAGGTTAAAGCAGCCAAATCTAACTTGAGGCCATGCTGAGGATGACTATAGACTGACATATTCATGTTTCCACTATTTGGAAATTTCCTGGGGCACTCTAGGCCTGCTCCTGAGCTAACCTGTGAGCAATGTTGTGATCTAATGGGACAGTCAGAGGAATGATGAGCAAGCCTCAAGGATGGCGCACTTATATTATCTGCCCTTTTGTTCAGAGATTCTATGCCCCAGACAGATCATGCCAGAGGCCAGCTTGTAAATTCAGGTGATTTATCTGATGACTTGAGAGAGACTGTTTCATAGCCAGTGGATGGAGATGTGAATGTTGCTTTCAAGATTAGTACCTCATAGATCTTCTAGTGAGCTCCTGCGATGAGCTAATGAAGCAGATAAGCCAAAATTTAGTGAGTCTACAGTATCATGGACAGCCTTGGATCAATTTCCTCACTAACAAAGAATGCTCTGTGGAAGGTTATCTGTCCCGTGGGTAGTCACAAAAATTATGACTCTCTCCAAACCAAAGCTGTATTATGGAATCAGTAAGACATGACCTTTGAAAATGACCTAAACCATGAAGATATCATAGAGGCCAATTTGGTTGAGATGTTTGAGTTTCACAGTCACTACCTACAAGTGAGCAGCTAATGCAGCTTGAGCCAGAGAAACCTACAAGAATGAGAGAATTTTCCTGGACCACTTCTGTTGGGGTTTAAAATAATTCTTCTGTTTAGAGCTTTCAAATCTTGTCATATTACCCAAAGTTTGAATGTAACTTTAGATTTTTCAGAAAAAAATAGACATTTTGTTCATATGCAAAAATATAGAAGGAAAATAAAAGGCTTCATTTTAAAGCAGGAATTTTTTTGAAGTGATATAATCTCATTCCCTTCATTTTGCTCTCATTACTGGGAAGTGAGGGCTTCTCTATAGAATAGCATTTTATAATAAATGGCACTGTATTCGATCGATATAGGATTTAATGTTTTTTTATGAACCAGTGTTTAATTTTAGTGTATTTATGGATTGTGTTTTAGTACATTTTCTGCATTCTTAAATTGAGTATATTTGCTGTCTTTGGACAGCTTGCAGAGTTGTAAGTGTTAGAAATAATTTTCTGTAAAAGTGCCTCATAATGTATGTTCTCAAAAAATAGTTGTTAATTTAGGGACTTTATTAGAGGGTTCTAAATCAGCATACTGATTTCCCAGTAGATTAAACTTTACAGCAGAATTGTGAGGATAAAATGTGATCTTTATAAAAATATAGAACATTTATAAGATGCATAGATACTACTTAGATTGTGTTCAGAAACACTGCTTTGCCTATAATTCACAAAGGTGAAAAAATCAACGGAACATCTTTTGAGCTGACAGTGGACAGGAGCAAGTGGAGGTTTGGGGTGCAAAAGGTATTTGAAAGAAACATCTGAAAGCATTTTTGTGATGCCCCTTATGATGATCCCTTGAACTACTGTCAACATCTTGTACTGTTTTTTGAAATTCCTCTTGCTTTAGTGGCCTGCCCACTGCTTTGAATTGGAAAATCAGTGAGGGTGGGGGTAGGTCTCGCACTCCTCTACTGTAGTCACTGAGAACTTTAACCCTCAGACCAGGGTCAGTCCTTTCGTGTGCCCTGTATCATCTGGCTTTGTTAATGCAGTTTTCTGGGCCCTGTCCTCAAAGTTCCTGACTCAGCCTGTCCCAGCGAGTTCCAAAGATTTGCATTTCTGCCAGACCTGGAATTTTTTTAAAAATCAAGTTCTGTGTGACATTGGGTCCTGCTAGTTCAAGGAGCACACTTTGAAAATCAGTAGTGTGCTTCTTAAAATGTGGACACATGACTTCTAGCAAAACATGGTCTAAATTCTGACTAGAGGAGGTAGAATAAAAATTGGCTCTATAGTGTATATTTCCATTGCTCACTACAGTCAACCTATGAATAAATATTCTGCTTGCCATACCAGTGTCATAACGGTACTGGTTTTATTTTGATTGAAAGATCATATAAACTCAAATAAAAATTTTAAAATGTTGGTTCCCAGTGTAGAACATATGTGCACATAAGAACTAATGTTAATGCCTTATGTATTTGCAAACTGCTTAATTTGATACTTCAGTTTTCCATGTATATTTATTGCCTTGTATTCATG